TTGAGAAATAAGGTCAACACTGCTATAGAAAAGGCAAAAGTCTCATACCATAATTCCTTTTTCAAGAATAACCGGGGTAACAATTAAGAACACTTGGAAAGGGATTAATACCATTTTCGGTAAAATACCGCAACCCACCAGAATCCATAGCCTAAAAATTGGCGATACCATCTACACTACCCCTGATGGAATCAAACCACCATTTCTGTAGCGTATGGCCAATTTTAGCAAATGACATTCCCCTCACAGACGCAAAGTTTACTGACTATCTTCTTCCTCTCCCACATGTCTTTTCTCTAACTAAAACATCTAATGATATCGTACTAAAACTGATTCAATCGTTACCGCTGAACAAGGCAAGTGGTCTTCCTGGTATTTCCGCTAAACTATTAAGAGAGCCGGGACCTATTATCTCTGCATCCTTGACCTACATCATAAATAGATCTTTAACTACCGGCATTTTTCCTAATGATTGGAAGGTAGCCAAAGTCACTCCTATTTACAAGGATGATATCAAAACTAATCCAAACAATTATAGACCTATATCTGTCTTGCCGATTCACGGTCAGTAAACTTATTCAGAGAGTAGTCTTCAACCAGTTATATGATTTTTAATGAAGCATGATTTATTTTCCGATGCTCAGTCGGGTTTTCGACCTTGTCATTCCACTTTGACTGCCCTTCTAGATATAACCAGTGATTGGTTTTCTAATATGGATAATGGCTTACTAAATGGAGTTCTTTTTCTCGATCTTAAAAAAGCTTTCGTTCACCTGTTGATCATGAAATACTACTTAAAAAGCTCAATATCTATGGGGTTGACTCCATAAGCTTAAAATGGTTTCAATCATATCTGACTGATCGTAAGCAAAGAACTTATGTTAATGATTCTCTTTCTGATTATGGCTCCACTGTGTAGCAGTTACTATGTATACAGTGGTCATTGATCACTTTCCACCTCGCCTTCATAATCTTTTTCAAACAACATCGCAAGTCCATACCTATAATTTGAGGGACTCGGCTCATAATCTCTTTACTTCCAGACCACTCTCAGTCTGAGGCCGGAAAACGTAGCTTGCACTATCGAGGTGCTACACTATGGAATAACCTCTCAACTACTAGCAAAACCCAGACCACTGTTACTGCCTTCAAATAATCCCTGCTGACATAGCAATTGCTTTTTGTTATACTGATGTTAACGATCTTTTTATTTTAGGATTTAATACCTCTTATTTTATGACAAGCTGTAGTATTAGTTTTTAGTTTTAACATTGCTGTTGGTATATAGTATTGGAATATTAGTATTAGCATAAGTTGTATTAATCAGTAAAAAATGTGCTCGTTCTAGATTGCTTATGAATGATTATCTATGTATTTAAGTTAAACACGGCTCGATGGAAGAGCATATTTTATATGAAATTGATACCGTGTATAAATAAAGTTTATGTATGTATTTATGTATGTATATTTGTGTATAGCTATGTATTGCAGTGTATAGCTGTGTATAGCCGTCTATAGCTGTGTATAGCCCTATATAGTTGTATAAAACCATATATAGCTGTATATAGCCGTGTATAGCTGTGTATAGCTGTGTATAGCTGTATATAGCCGTGTATAGCTGTTTATATGATTTATGATTTATGATTTATTTAGCTTCGCCTACCGGCAGGGACACCTCAACAGCTTGCGCCAATTACTACGGGCCCAATAAACCCACCCATCCCACCCCAGGGGAGGACATCCATCACACAGTAATCTCGTGTGTGGGAAATTAACGTCTCCTACTCCAACCCTGCAGGAGACGGGACCTC